AAAGAGGTCTATGAAAGATGAAAATTACAACACACACATACAAAACAAGAGCAATTAAAAACTCTCTAATACGTTTATTTCTTGATTATTTTCAGTGCTACAATTTTGTGTAAACATCACAGTTGTGATATAACTTATTAGAAGCATACACATAGTATATTTTGTTTAAAATTGTATTTTTTTTAGAAACCAAGTTGTGGTTAGATCTCAAGAAGGCGTTGACAGTTATCTTCGTAATTTGTGTAATCAACTTTGATTAGTGGATTAAGACCTCAATTGAGAGAGGCGAAATCATCTTGACGAGTGGACTGGATTAGTTTTAGTTCAAATGAACCATGATAACCAAACATGTTTTATAGCTTTAATTTTTTGAAAATACCAATTCAAACCCCCTTTCTTGTATTTTTCTATCCTTCAGGTTCCTCGACCGAGACTTCTTCTCTTCCTCGCCCCTATTTCTTTTCCGTTCAGGGAATCATTGTTCTTTGCACGGGGGGTGTAACCGCGCTTCTTGATAGCTTCGGGCTAGATCCTCTCCAGTGCAGGACCTTGCCCAGTACGACGGGGAGTTAGGCTCTGAGAATTGTCTCGTCTATGAATCCTGGGAGAGATCAGGAGTGGTTCTCGTTCTGTCGGGGAGGAGTAGTCTGAGAATAAGGTCTTCGGTGCTTTCTGGGGGCTCGGTGAGTCTGTTCCAGCATCATCAGGCGCTCACCCTGCGCGAAGATCATGTAATTCGTCTAGTTGATCGTCGCGAAAAGGGATCTGGTCGTGGCGTCAGCATTTTCGAGAACGGGGATCTCCTGATACACAGCCGGCTTGTAATTTTTCCGAGGATGGTGGGCGTCGTTGCCTGGTTGTGAGCAGATGGAGGAAGATGCGGTCACCCTGTCTCAGGGGTCTTGCTAAGGGGCGGCAACGTTGTTGTTGTTGTCAGCGTTGTTGTTATTGTTGCCGACGTCGGCGAAGTGAATGTTCTGGTCATTGTTGATAGCTTAGTCGGTCATGACAATTGGAAGGTTGAGAAAGAGTTGCTTTGGTCTTGAGTGAAAGAAGGGGAAGTTGGGTTCCCACAGAAGGAACCACATATCGTACCTGATCAGAAGGGATCGTCAAGACCCACAAACTTCAAATTGAGCAACGGTTGAATGTGAAGTGGGGGTACCTGTAAGATACTCTGATGTCAAAGTAAGAGTCTAGAGAATAAGAGTACGAGTAATATAAGTGAGGTAGAATGAATGAATGAATGAACACCTGACTCTGTCATGTGAAAGGATATTTATAGCCTCCAATGTTGAGCCAAGATCCATGTACTAGACCAAGTGATTTGGACCTAATAACAAGGACTTCCAGGATTACGTGATGTGACCGTTGACCACGTTCCTTAATGGACACGTGGATAAAATCTCCAACAACTATCTGACTTGGGCCTGAAGCTATTGAACCATAAAAAGAGGCGCTAATATTAGATATGCCCATGTGCCAAATGTCAGCCCGACCCATAATACCTATTAGGAGCCTTACTTAATAAATCGGTCCATTTGACTCATTATCTTCTTTTTAAATGATTTATCTAACAACAACATTTTGTCTAATTTCACAATTTAATATATCAAAGTTTGTTATGTATCTTACATTTAGGACACTTTGCATTTTATATTTTTTTCCTTTTATTAACTTCAATTAAAGGTGTTTTATTCTTTATTTAACTACTTTATATTTTGTTTCATATTATCGGAATCAACCTTTTTTAGACATGCAAAATGAAGGATTTAAAAATGAAAGAACCTTCCAACTGGAGATACGAATGAATTGTCGGTCGACATTCTGAAATGTTAAAATATTATTGTTAATGGTTTTGGTTTCAAAACTCTTTTGGACGGTTGCCTTAGAACTTTGAAACTTTGGAAACTGAAACTATTACCTTGGAACATTACACCTTTTTAAAAATTTCATTTATTTTTAGATATGTGGATGCCAATTACAAGTGTGGGGTGTATCAAGTATAATCCTCCATTTTAACCCATTTCAAATTATCCAAAGTCTTACATAATTCTTGTACGTCCATATGAAAATTCATTTTCATACCCATTAAGATATTATGATTTTTACTGGTCACCCCCTATTCATATATGGTACCTCCACAATTATTGTGCTTTGATTTTATTATTCTTACGTATTAAAAATCTATTTCAACTATTTATTTGTAACTTTTCAAATTTTTCCAGAAAGCACAACGTTTTAATGAATTTTGTGAAGAAACTATTTAATGTTTCAAAGTAAGTATATACAATTTTATCAACAATTTATCATTTTTATCGGATTTTTTATCCAAAAACATATATTTTTACCAATTTTTTTAAAGTGTCTAGTAAAAATTCACGTTTTTTATATATTTTCTTCTGTTTTTTTAAAATATCTGATAAAATTCACGTTTCTTATGTATTTTTATTGGATATTTTAGACATCTAATAAAAATACATGTCTTTCTACTGAATAAAAATTCATACAAATTTATTAGATTTTTTTCAAAAAAATTGATAGAAGAAAATGTTGAGATATTTATCAGAGATTTTGAAAATTTTGGGAAAGCCATCTTGTTTTTTAGATTTTTAAAAAATTTGATTGTTTCTTCGTATTTTTTGTAGTGAAGATCAGAGGATCAGGCAGGATGGTTGCTTCTAGGCAGCGTGACAAAGCTGTTGTGAGGGTTCGTGCGAGAGTCAATGACTTCGAGGTTTTGAATATCTAAGTAGAGAGTAGTCCCGACCGATTCTCACAAGAGACAGACGGTTGAGCAGGCCCGCACACCGTGCAATATCCGATGTAGAGTATTTAGAGCTTATGGATGGGTCAGAGATCTTGTTGATGAGCTCGATATGCGATTTTGACGATGTTCAGATAACAAATGATGGTGTGAAGTGTCAGGGTCAAGATGACATGTAGATGGTGGTCGAGATAGAGGCGGCCCATCACACTTATATGAAAGCCTTAGCTAATATAGAGGCGACTCCTCAGACTGATGCAAAGGTGACTCCTCCGGCGGAGACGAAGGTCACTGCTCATACGGAGGCACCTGCTACAGGTGATATGAAGGTTATTCCTCTGACTGATACATAGGCTACTCCAATGATTTCGACAGAGCCGTCTGTACACATTGTTGGAGGATTTCAGAGAGAGAGAGAGAGAGAGAGAGAGAGAGAGAGAGAGAGAGAAACACTCTATAACGGTTGGATAACAAAGCCATTAACCTAAAAACTTCATTTATTAAAGTCACTAACTTGAGCATAAAAATGTTTGCAGGTACAACCATACCACCAAATCAAAGGAAAAGACCTATCAAATTTTTCATTTGATTTTCAATTGACAATAACTCATGAAGAATAAGGTGTATTCCTATATCACTTATGTTTTAATATGAGAATCAAACCCACAAACATATGCTGGAAGTTCGATCTTTAGCCCTTAGTCTCGATTGTGGATATTACTATGGTACAATTGAAAGTTTCACTTTTTTTTTTTACAAGACATTCTTTGAGAGTTGAAAACAATAATAATTTGTATACAACACATATACTCTTCAACTCAATAAAAAAATAAATTTTAAAGAACAAAATCATAAATGACTTCCACAATGATCACAACGGACAATATCTCATAAAAACTTTAATGAATTTGAGATCAGAGCAATAAATATAGGGATAGTGTGTCCATAACATATTTTCTTACTGAGAAAATGTCTTTATTAAAAAATGTGTATCATATAAACTTTATTTTGAACAATTCTTAATTAGACTTCATTAACTTTGTCCAATTTTTCTTAAAAATTTGAAAATAAAGTGTCTCATTTAGAGTTTATAGCGAACAAAATAAATATCATCCATGATTAAACTTTAAATCTACAATTTATATTGTGTATCGCACACATTTTACATTATGAAAAGCGAGAATATGGAAAAGAAAACAAATAATGAGATTTTTGTCCTATATATAAAAAACGTGAGGGTATGAAAATAGGCGTGGAACTGTGAATAATAATTTCTTTCCTTTTATTGACCAAACTAAAAGTTAGGAAATTGTCCCAAATAACTCCATTAAATGGTTAGGAAATGATTTTCAGCCTCTTTTACTCTTTGATGTTTTAATTATGTAAAGTGCACTTGCAATTATATCACCAAATCAATACTCCATATTCATTCTTTTTCTCAATGTAATCGCATCTTGTAATATTAAAGCTAGCTAGTAATCATATCTTGCTCCATTTAGTTGTTTTAATTGTTATTTTTAGAAAACAAAGATGTTGATGGAGTTCCTGGTAAATTACTAGTAGTAGGCTTTTCTAGTCAAAGAAGTACTCATTTCTAGGGAGAACTTTTTGTGTACCAAAAGACACCACTTATTTCTCACATGCATGATAAAGGTTCGAGGGTTGCTACCCCACTATTCCAAATTATGTACCTAGTGTTCTGGTTTATATTTTGGATTTCATCATTGTGCTTTTGGCATGTTAAGAATGTTAAGATTTTGATATGGAGGATTGATATAGAAATCTCATTATTGGTTATTTTAATTTATTTTGTTTTTTTATATATTGAGATGAGTATGTTAGAGCTTGAACTTGTATAAAAATTCTATGTGTTCTAGTGAGAGAAAATCTAACCTCTCACTAATATTTATCGTCCTTTCTCTCCCAAAGTCCTTCTATGGTTTGGCGGTTTTTCCTTTCCTCAGTTCTGCATCTGAGTTTCTTTTTTTAATCTTTATTGGCTTTCTCTTCCACCTGTATCTAGAAGTTGTTTCTCTGGTTTCGCTTTGAAGTTGCTCTTTTTTTGTAGAGCCCGTGTTATGGATAAATGGGGGAACATTTCTCTCTCGAAGGAGGAGGAGGGAGGGTTACAGTGGTGATAGAAGAAGTTAGTGGGGATGAGATATTCCAGTAGACTCTGGCGGGGAAGCTATGGACTGATAACAACTTTAACTCTAGAGCTTTCACAAATACGATGATAAACGCTTGGAAGCTCAAGAACCCGGTGGAGACAAATGAACTGAGCAAAAACCTGTTCTTGTTCAGGTTCGCTATGAAGAGGGATTTGGAGAATGTGATTAATAATAGGTTATGGAGCTTTGATAGAAATCTCCTTGTTTTGGATAGGGTCTCAGGAGAGGAACAACCCTTAAATTTGAATATGCACTTTGGAGTTTTTTGGGTCATGGTTTATGAGCTGCCTCTTATGCTTAGGTCTGAAGCAATGGCGAAGAAGATAGGAGGGATCCTGGGCAATTTTGAAGAGATGGACCAGAAGGAAGCTCACTGCAACGGACAATTTCTTCGTATTAAGGTTAAAAGGGATCTTAAACAACCTTTAAAATGGGGGACGATAGTTCGATTAAAAGATAAGAATCTTCGAGTCTTCTTAAAATATGAAAGGCTGACAAATTTTTGCTTTGCTTACAGGAGAATAGGGCATCAGTTAAAGGATTGCAAAGCGCTTAGGGAATTGGATGAAGAAAGCTATGAAGAGTTGGACGAACAAGAAATATCCTTTGGTCTTTGGCTTAGGGCATCTCCCTTGCCTCGTGTTACAGAGGAACCGAAGAAAAAAGATTCAAGTTCTGGAACATGTAGTAAGAACTTGTTCAATATCTCCTCTAGTCACAGTAGATGTGAGACAAAGAGCAAAGGTAAAGAAGGAGATGAAGTGGAGGTTGAACAACCATCGACTACAGGAAACACAAACCAGATTAAAACGATGCCGAAGCCTGTGGAAGAAAATAATTTGGGGAATCTGTTAGCCATTGAATTCGTGGCAGAGTCTCTGGGAGCGGTTGATATCTCCAACAAAGGAAAGGAAGGAGAAGGTAATTCCAAGGGGACAGTGTCGAAGAGAAGGAAGGGGTCGAGGAAGAAGGCGGAGAAAAAAGAGGTTCCCAACAAGAATGCCTTGATGAATATAGAGAGGGGAAGAGACAACTTATAGATGTAATGGTTGTTGTCAACACTGTGGTAGTAGTGAGAAGAAGAGGAAACATGACCCCGTTCAGATTAAACAACATACAACAGGACCATAGGTGGTGCTGGAGAGCTAACACTGCCTACATCAATGAAAATTTTGAGTTGGAACTGCAGGGGTTTGGGGATCCCCCGTGCAGTTTGAGCCTTGTTGAGGCTCTATCATCTTGAAAACCCTGAAGTGGTCTTTCTTATGGAAACAAAACTTAAATCTTTGGAGTTTCAAAAAATTAAGCCCCAATGCGGTTTAGTAGTTGTCTGATTGTGGATTGTACATGAAATGGTAAGGAGTGTGCGGGGGGGGCTGATAATGTTGTGGAGTGACTAGTTACAAATTTCTATAAGGTCTTACTCTTTGAATCATATTGTAGGGGTGGTTTCGGATTATTAGGATGGAAAAAAGTGGTTTCTTAATGGTTTTTATGGCTTCCCAGAAGAGCATCATAAGAGGAGGACTTTAGAGCTTTTGCAGGAGGTTGTTTTGAATGGTGGAAACAAAGTCATCTATTTTGGGGACCTAAATGATGTAATGTCTAATGAAGAAAAGATAGGGGGTTTAAGTAGGTCTATTTCTCAATTAACATGGAACAGACATGCTACTGATAGATGTCAGCTTGTGGATTTGGGATTTGAGGGATACCAGTTTACCTGGTCTAATGGTAGAGAAGGAGAGGAAAATATTCAATGCAGGTTGGATAGAGATTTGGCAAGTGAAGATTTCTTAAACCGGTTTTCACCAATCAAGGTTTTTCATTTGCAGAGATTTGGACATGACCATACGACGGCTAGCATCAGCCTTGAGGATAACAATGGAGACAGAAAAAAGAAAAGGGTTTGGATTTTCATATTCGAGGAAGCTTGGTCTAAAGACCTAAGTTGTATGTCTGTGGTTGGTAATTTGTGGCACAGTCAGGCTGGGGGAAGGAAATCTAAAAGTTAAGAGCTATGCAAGGTTCAAATGACGCTTTCAAGGAGTATCATATTGGTTTGGTTTATAAGGAGCTCCAGAGGATTGAAAAACTCCTTGATAAGGATGATATATGGTCATTGAATCTAGAGGAATTGAAGAAGTATAAGGCCTTGGAGGATGATATCAGGATGACATCCGTCTCTATATCATACCTGAGTTGTTTCTAGAAGATAGTCTAGAATAAGTATCAGGATGATATCCGTGTCTATATCATACCCGAACCGTTTCTAGATGAGAATCTGGAATAAGTGTCAGGATAACTTCCGTATTTGGATCATACCTGAACCGTTTCTAGATGATAGTCTGGAATAAGTGTCAGAATGACATCTGTCTCTGGATTGTATCTACATCGTTTCTAGATGAGAATCTGGAATAAGTGTTAGGATGACATCCGTCTCTGGATCGTACCTGAACTGTTTCTAGATGATAGTCTGGAATAAGTATCAGGATGATATCCGTCTCTAGATCGTACCCAAACCGTTTCTAGATGAGAATCTGGAATAAGTGTCAGGATGACATCCGTCTCTAGATCGTACCTGAGCTATTGCTAGAAGATGATCTGAATAAGTATCAGGATGACATCTGTCTCTGGATCGTACCTGAACTGTTTCTAGATGAGAATGGAATAAGTGTCAGGATGAAATCCGTATCTGGATCATACCTGAACCATTTCTAGATGAGAATCGGGAGTAAGTGTCAGGATGAAATTTGTATTTGGATCGTACCTGAACCGTTTCTAGATGAGAATCTGGAGTAAGTGTCAGGATGACATCCATCTCCGGATCGTACCTGCATCGTTTCTAGATAAGAATCTGGAATAAGTGTCAGGATGGCATCCGTCTTTGGATCATACCTGAACCGTTTCTAGATGAGAATCTGGAGTAAGTGTTAGGATGACATCCGTCTCTGGATCGTACCTAAAATATTTCTAGATGAGCATCTGGAGTAAGTGTCAGGATGACATCCGTATTTGGATCATACCTGAACCGTTTCTAGATGAGAATCTGGAGTAAGTGTGAGGATGACATCCGTTTCTGGATCGTACCTGAACCGTTTCTAGATGAGAATCTGGAGTAAGTGTCAGGATGACATCCGTATTTGGATCGTACTTGAACCGTTTCTAGAGGAGAGTCCCCTTTATTTAGAATGTTTCCGTTGGGAATTCTTGTTTTGTTGTTTTGAGAAGAAATCCATTGGGGAATCATGAGAAGCTTGGCGACTTCACTGGGGAATTCTTAGATGCTGGAGTAGTAATTTGGAGATTCTTGCTCCTCTGAGGATATAAGATCACCTGACACCATTAGGCTGCATGCTGAGAATGTGGCAGTGACCTTGTAGTAGAATGTCCTTGCCTCTGTACCTGCGGGAGAAAGTATCTGCTAGGGATTTTGTAGATGGTTTGGATATCATTCCAACTCTTGGAGTCCTTGGTGAATGCAGATCAGGGTAATAAACCTTCTATTGATAGACAAGTGATGAGATGACGGGATGTAGTCGTACGCTTTAATCCCTAACTTTTTCCTGGACTGTCCTTTCAGATTTTCAGTCCATCGGGATACCTTTTTTTTGCCCAAGCTGCCTTTTCAGGTTTTCGACTTTCCGGGTGTACAGATTTTTCATATGCATATCCCTAATTTTTCCCCGAACCATTTTGGTTCACTGGGATGCCCTTATTTTTGCCTAGGCCAGTCAACCTAGAGGGTCTCTGTTCATGCATAGTATTTTCCGACTATGTCCATGTTCACCGGGTAAAGAGAATTATCATTGTCCATAGTAGTAAGTGTTGCCACACTGCCAGAAGATGTTTGTTTGATCGTACATGATTCGTTACTGGAATTCATGTCCAATTCCCCAAGAGATTCAGATGGAGATCTATCCCTGGCTATTTGGCATTTTTAAGAGATTCCTTGAACCTTGACTTGACTGCCCCAGATCAGCTGGACACCATGATATGCCCCTTGATTATGAAAGGCCTATTACTGGAATGTCTTTCCATCCGAGGTGATTCTGTCCACTGAGAGGATTTCTGTTTATCGAATATCTGTCGTGTGAATTTCTATGCTATTGAACAAATGGTCATATGAAAACAATGGTATTCTAAGAATGCAAAGCTTATGTCTGTCTTGAAGTTTTAAAATTCATTTTTTAGTAAAACAAACAAATTTTGTAAGAGTGTGATATCAGCTCGGGATTTATAGTGAATCCTACAAGAGTCAGGATACCTTTTGTAATAGTATGCTTTCGAACTAACCCATGCTTCAGCTAGGACTTTTAAGGTTTATAACGTGGCCTTGTTCACGGTTTAAGAAACAAAGGGTAAAGGCTCAAACTTTATTTGTACCCCACCCGTTCTTCGTGATGTTCTTCAATCTTATGCTCAGCTAATTGTGCGTTTAGATCCCAATTAAGTCTGAAATATTTGCTCTGATACTTGGTGATGGTTCAAAAATTGAACGTTTGTTTGAGAGGGAAGTCATTTTTGTAACCTTTTCTTTTTTTTGTTGAGGATTTGTAGGACCTCTTTTTTTTATTTTGTTATCCCTACCTTTTCCTGAATTATTTCTTTTGTGATTACAATCATCGGGACGCCCCAGTTTTTTCTTAACTCCCTATCATAGGTTTTGACTTAGCAGGATTTTCTTTTGAAAAATAATTACTGTCTGCTTTAATGTTTATGCGAAACCATCATCATCTTTTGGAGGGCATATTCTACACTATTTTTCGTGTATGAAGGTAGAGCTTGCGAATGAATGCATATCTAAATTAACTGAAAAAACTACCCTGCCCCATGTTATGATTAAGGGTTTTAATTTGTGTGAAAAGAAAAACCCATACTTCTTAGGCTCAAAGGGGTTGACTAGGGATTATCTCCATTATAACTCCACTGTTTAGGATTTGAAACAACGAATGTACATCATCAACGGGGTCTGTTCAAAAGCACACTGTATGAGATTATGGTATCGTTTTCATCATCCTCCCTCTAAAGGCTTAGAGATTTTAATTGAGAGTTGAATATCACAAAAAGGAATTAAAAACACATTTGAATGTAGTGAATACGAATGAAATGATCCAAGACAAACATATGCAATGCATTGATAAAATAACAAAGTTTGACATGAAACAAATGTTCGAACAATCAAAAGAAATTACAAATAGAAAATTCAAGATGAACAAAAATCCTCTTTGTCTTGGCTTGTCACTTTAGATGGTGTGTCTTTGAGGAATGGCAGAAGAATTCCAGCTTGACCATCTTGTATAAACTCCAGAAAACCTTCATCAATCAAGTCTTGAATCTTATTTCTCAATGTCCAACAGCTATTAGTGTCATGTCCAGAACTGTTAGAATGGTACGCACACCTTACATTTGGATTGTACATTGGGGAAGCAGTGTTTGGATTCTGAGGGGGATCCTTCAACGTAATCAGCTTGACCTCCAATACGTATTACAATGCTTGAGCCAAAGACATGCTGATTTTGGTAAAGCGTCTTTTAGATGTATTCTGTTTACGCTAATTACCCTATCGTTGTTGGCGAGGTTGTGATGCAACAACCATTTGGAAAGCTCTAATCTCCAAGCCAACTTTTTGTCCCATCAGGGGTTGATGAATGACTTGATCCCCAGCCTCGACTGCTTGCCTCATACATTTGCATCCATCTTGATGAAGCTTGCTGATGAGAAACCTCAACTCTTCTTTTTCCCGAGCTAAACTTTGGATAAGAGCCATTTGATTATTCATACGGATTCTCATCCGTTCCATTTCAGCTTGCAGTTGTTCCAACTGGTCATCCTTGTTGTTGTCAATATGTTTCTTGGTCAGATTCCCGTTGAGGAGTGCTTTCAATTGTTCATGTCCCTTGGATAGGTTGAAGAACATTTCCATGAACTGAGCCTCTTGAGTTTGGAGATCTCTCACTGTTTGTTCGAGAGCCATTTCTTTTTCTGAAATAAACATCAAAGGGATAAGAAGCCTGTCTGGAGAATACCTATTATGCAATGA